ACAAATTTCAAAATAATTTTAATATAAAAAAACACGATAACATACAACTAAAGCTACTACATCTCTACATTACAACTATTTTCTCCCAAGGTCGATGCCGAACATAGCTGCGATCAACTTGGCCCACAGGTCGGGGTACTTCTCAGCCAGGAGCCCCATGGCAGTGCTCATTTCAGCGGCCTCTTCGGGACTGCACATGTTGGAGGGACATGTGCCGAAGTTCCTCATGGTGGCGAGAGCACGCACTAAGGGGGGAAATAACAAGGCATTTAGTTCAGTTTAAGAGAGGATTTTTTTTTTTAGTTTAGTGTAAGAGGAAAAATAATTTTGATAATTTTGAGAGAAAAGTACCATTTAGATCAGTTTAGGGGGGAAGCATTTAGACCAGTTTATGAGAGAAAAAACACCTATTTAATTCAGTTTAAGAGAGAGAAAAAGTCAAGAGAGAGAAATAGTTCAGTTTAAGAAAAACATTCACTTCATTTTAAAAGAGAGAGAGAGAGAGTGAATGAGTGAGTGAGAGAACATTTATTCCAGTTTAATAGAGAGAAAAAAATGGCTCAGTTAAGAGAAAAAATAATTTAGTTCAAAATAAGAGAAAAAAAAATAGTTCAGTGTAAAAGGGAAAAAAAACATTTAATTCAGCATTAGAGAGAAAAAAATAGTTAAGTTTAAGAGAAAAAAATAACAGTGATACATTGATTCATGGTGTATCATGGTCGCTACAAAGTTTTTTATTAACAAAGTTTTGAAAAAAAGTTATATCTCTTAATATCATATAAAAAGTCAATAGAAAACAATCGGAGTACTTAATATGCTGGTACGATTTTTTAAGTACAGTCAAAACATTGTGGAAGCTTCATATATAATAACTACAAAAAAAGCCTGTAACGTTATATCACAGAGATACAGAATTATTATGAAGACATACATCAGACCGGAGTCAATACCGCATCCTATCACTTGGACACGTTGGAAAATCTTACCATGTGGTTCCAGCGACCGTCATGAATGACTTATCGAGGGAACATGTATTTGATGTACTACTTAAAAGGTACAGAATCCTTTTATGCATCTTTATTTTGTATCAAGAAACTTACGATGCGATTCATAATCAGTGACTATATAAATCCCTGTCAGAGACTGTGTGAAATATATCAGAAAAATATCGCGCTCCGGTTGGCTGGCTGGAGTGTATCAAGGTAATGCCATACAACATGAACCAAAAGATGTTTTAAGAGCCAATAATGTGCGTATACAGGGCAAACATGTATCAAAGTGGTGTTAGGGGTTTTGAAGATGCTATAAAATGGCCTTTAGTTCAGTTTAAGAGAAAACAAACAAACGTTTAGTTAAGTTCGAGAGAAAAAAAACATTAGTTCAGTTTAACAGAGAGAAAAAGAGCATGTAGTTCAGTTTAAGAGATATATTTTTTTTTAGTTCAGTCCAAAGGAATAAATGTTCAGTTTCAGAAAAAAAAATAGTTTAGTTTAAGAAAAAAGAAAAGTTAGTCCAGCTTAAGATAGAGAAAAAACATATAGTTCAGACTAATAGAAAAAAAAACTTAGTTCAGTTCAAGAGAGAAAAAAGCAAAACATTTTGTTTAGTTAAATTTCATAGAAAAAAAAATATTTAAGAGAAATAATTCCTTTCGCTCAGTTTACGAGAAAAGAACAATTAGATCAGCTTACGAGAAAAATAACATTAGTTCAGCTCAGAAAAAAAAACATTTAGAGCAGTTTAAGAGAAAAAATGTTCAGTTTAAGAAAAAAAGAAATTTAAGAGAGAAAAAAAAACATTTAGTTCAAATTAAGATGTTTTACGATTTAAGAGAAAAAATAATTTTGTTCAGTTTAAGAAACAAAAATAATTTAGATCAGTAAAGAAAAGAAGAAGAAAAAAAAAAACATTTAGTTCAGTTTAAATGGATAAGTTAGATAAATTTACGAAATAAAAATCTATTTAAAAGAAAAAAAAAAAACATTTACTTCAGTTTAAGAGAAAAAAATAAATATTTCAGTTTAAAGCGCAGTGGTTGAGTGTGTATTTGTTTTTCTAAGAAATGCAAAACAAATTGAGAGATAAAGTATACTGTATAAATATGATATGTTCTTTTTTTAAAAAATTATGTCGATTAAAAGAATAAGTGTATAGTGAAAAGTTATGAGAACAAATTGCAAAGGTGAAACTTTTAAGCGGAGACATCAACCAGATTATTCAACTTGATTGATATAGATATCATACTTAGAGTAAATCGAAAAATTAACAGGTCCATTATGTTTATTTATGGACCAAAATATTGGTTACCATCAAATAGAACCGGTCTATTCATCTTCCTACTCCATAAAAGTATAATTTCTCCCTTTTTTTAACATGCATATCGTCCTCACCTCTCATCTTCTCCTCCTCAGGGGAACACTTCTTCTTGCCGAGGAAACAGTCGACGATGGACTCCACTGTCTTTCGGTCGCTGAAGGCGTTAATGAGCGCTGCCTGCCTC